GGACAATTTCTTTACCTTAGGCAATGTAACTCTCCGTCTCCTCCAGACACAAACAGCGGCTCCGCTCGCTCATATCAGCTGATCATCACGCATGACTTCACACATGTCCATTCATCAAAAACAGGACGCGCAGGTGTGACGCAAAATCTGATTTCCTAAGAGTCTCTAGGCTGCCGAAACGAACATGTACACAAGCCAAACTGAGACATTTCGGTTTACACGACTGTATAGGGCGCCTAATTTGTAAAATACAGCGGAAGACGGGGCTAGAGGTCCCCATTTTAACTCCAGTAAACGTTTCTCATTGGTAGGTTCAGTTTTAAAGTCATTACCTGTATAGAAATAACCTAAAGTCATGACTTTCGAAAACTATTGCCTAGGAAACAATATACAATTCACTGAACAGGCTGAGCATTTCTGGAAACACGTCTCAGTGAAGTAAGCTACCATAATGAAACCTGCCATTAAGAAATTATACACTGATTAAACCAATTACGAAGCACCAAATATCATTGTGAGATGTTGTAAATAATAAACGTATGTAAAACCCACGTGACAACTTGCCTCAGTTTGACACATAAAAATACCCCTGCCATGGAACACAGTTAATAAACATTGTATTTAAAATCTACATTTAGTTATATGGTTGACTTGTCTGAATGTATCCCGCTTCTTAACCCAACAGTTACAGGAAAGTTTGGAGAATAAAATTCAGAGATTTTATTTAAGAGGGTTTTAGAATTGTATAATACTGCGTTTTTAAATGTTTACCTTTTTGAACTCATTGGATTTCAATTGGAATATACAAATGAAAAGTTTAAAATAATTCACTTCAACATCTAAAGCTATAACCATTCTAAATGTAACAATGGCAATACTGTAGTTTATATATAATTGGAATGAAATAAACAATGCTGGTTGAAAGTACTTTTGTATTGGCTTTTGTCAGGTGGAACAGACACCCATTTAATATGCATCTTTTGAGTTAAAGGGTCTGCGATTAAACTTTCCAACAATCCAGAAGTCACCGTTTTATTGGAAATAAAGATCAAACTTTCTCCTACTGAAGGGATTTCAACTGTAGGAATAAGAAAATACACATGCAAAGGAAGCAGGTGGGCCATATATGATAAACTTTATCATACAACAGAAGGGAGAGACGAGTATCATTTATAAAGTATCATTCACAATAGATTTACAAATATAATAATAACTCATAGTTTAAGAAAGAAAAAAAAAGAAAAATGATATTTACTAAATCAGACCAAAACAAGACTATTTAAATCTGTACAAGTGTCTTCATCGACACCCAACAATTCATTCATCGATCCTCCGATGAAGACGCCAACGTCCACAATGCATGTTTAAGAGTTCTCACGCTGTATGTACAATGGTTCGTCAGGGTTTGAGAGAATATGAAATAAACGAAGCATTTGAATCGCATCAGTTCCAGCATTCTAATGCCCTTCAGAAGGCAGAATAAGACTGAGCTTGAGAGGAAGACAGTTTATTTCTTGCAGACGTTTCCTCATTTTCTTCACTTGATGTGCAACAGCTTCTCGGTGCCCACTTTTAAGCGTTTGCGTTTCGGTTGTACGACGTCATCGTCAGAGTCCTCCGAATCCTTATCGGCCTCCGCTTGCATCTCCTTCTCCATGACTACTGGGAACGTCTGGTCGGGAAAAATCTCCAGCAGTTTCTCCTCGAAATGCAGACTCACGGCTTTGCCCGCCTCTGCCACTTCCGAGTCGGCCTAGGAGAGAGAGGAGAGGGGAAAGAGTGTGGAAATATGAGGAAAGGCCAGGAGAGAGCAGGTGGAATGCAGGCCCAGGGATGAACGGGTGAGGAGGAGGAGGAGAGAAGCACAGAAAGGGTTAAAACTCCCATTTTAGCTGCTTTGGGTGCCAGCACTGCTGAACCCTTCGGTGTGGTGTACGAAACATCTTACCTGAACATTACTCTGTTTCTCCTCATCATAAACCTGGATTATTCGAGACATCTAAAAAGGGCAACGACACCACACAAAAAAAAGAAAGAAAAAACAACAAAAGGGGGAAAAAAAGATTTTATACCATCCACACAGTGAGGTCACAGCCTCATCTGTATTTAAAAATGTCCAAGGAGCACAATTTTCGGTTTGCTCATAATAAATGCCTTTCAGTTAGAAGGCATAAGCAAACGGCCTCTATATATTCATGAAGAAGAAAAACTAGAAGGGGATTTGCCTTAAAAATATGAATAAAAAACAAAACAGTGCCAGTAATGATGACAAACAAACAAACTAAATGCAACCGAGATGAATTGGATGGGAAATTTCAGAAATAGTTCATAATAACGTGCTTCTTTGACATGAATGCCACAATCATCAAGTTTTGTGAAGACAGTAAAATATCTACCACATTTTACAGTTATCTTCAGACAGAAATAACATTTCAGTAACCCTATAAATCACCACAATAGCAGTGCTACAGTTCATAACATGAGTGTTTCTACTGTTAAAGCTTTTTTTCCCCACAACTAACACCCTATTTGTGAATTTCAAGCATACTGTGGCCACTGTGATGAACTCAAGACACAGAACAAATCCATCCACTGAAACGACCTGAAGTAAATGTACACATCCTTTGGTAAAACAGAAGCCGAAAAATCTCTATAACATTCAGTGTGTAATACCGTATTGGCCCGAATATAAGACGACCCTGATTATAAGACGACCCCCCCCTTTTTCCAGATGTACCTTTTGGAAAAAGGCTTTTTAAAAACCAAATCTTGTTTTTTCTCAGTAAAACACATTTTGTCTTCAATTATTTTCATATTGCATATTTTTCCTATTTTAATTTTTGTTTTGAAAGTATGGTAAAAACTGGTAAAATGTACCAACAATCACATTTAAAAAATAAACACTTTTTGATATACCATATCGTCTTATATTCGGGACAATACGGTAATTGCATATGTGATTCATGTATTGCCACTGCATTTAAAACGGCAGCGGTTGCAGATGTAAAATTAATGGCATGACTGAGATTCGCTGTCAATAACAAACTTCAATACACAACAACACTCAAAACTTTCATAATCAACTAAATTGTAAAAATTATGTCAAAAACGCAACTTGGCAGGGTTATTATAGGCTAGTTGACAAACTGAAACTAAATCCATTTCCGTTACAAAAACTACCAAAAATGACAATTACTAAAACTTTTAAATTAAAATGAAACGGAAAATATAAAAATGGATTCAAAAATAGTAATAAAAACTATATTAGTACCTCAATGATACTAAAAAAATAGCTTCCAAGATATGTAAAACTGAAATTGAATAATTTGTGTACATGGGATGCGAGTTTGAACGGATCAGAGGCATTTAGTTTTATTTTACAGTTTCACAGTCACTAAACATGTACACTTTACATACAGACTCCAAAAAGACCCCATGAAATCAAAATGAGAGTTTTACTCCAGGTATGTTTGCTTTAAAGTTACCAATATTATGCTAGTGCAAAAAGCTGAGAAATTTCACTTATTCTTTAGAATGAGAATGTTCCTCATTATGACTAGCAAAACTTGCAATTTAAAGCATGTTGGCAGTTTAAAAAAAAAAAAGAACGAGACCCACCCAAACTTCCGTTATTAACAGGAAATACATAAACTCATTTTTTTGCTTCATGGGGTCTTGAATGAATGTCAGAAACAGTGAATGACTGCAAAACTGGCATTCATATCATGCATTTGATCGTCATTTTTATTGTTCAAATAAAAATAGTGAACAATAATCAAATGTATCATACCAAAACACTGTGCAACATTAAAATAAACATCCCTTCAATGGTGTGAAACACCACAAAGTGTGTTAGCCCTGTGACAAACACAAGCTCAACATCCAGCCGCTGATTAATGCTCAGCTTGACTGAAACCATTCTTTTAATAGTTAGTACTGGTGACCATAAGAGGCAGTGAACTCATGCAAATCCATCACATGTTCTCATGCTGTGTTGCTTTAGTGTATTTCATACTCTCCAAATACTCGTTTCTTACATGCACCCCCACACAGGTTAAGGACATGCCCCGAACTCACCTCATTATATTTGGCACAATTGCTAAAGACCAGGCGCACGTCAGACACAAACTCTTTAGGACTCTTGTAATGCAGAGGATGTTTTCGCTGCAGTTTCCGCTTTACCAGGGTCAAATCCATAGGATGCTTTATTATTTTATAGTAATTGGGTACCTGGAGAGAAATCAAGGCTTCAGCATTAAAACTATAATGTTGAACATGGGGATCTCTTCCAAACCATTTAATTTGCCCTTCAACTCAACATTAGGTATTATATGTGCATCCCAAATAAAAAAGAACTACTAATACTATTTAACAGTATTAAGGCCTTTCCACACTGAGCGCGG